AGGAGGCGAGAAGCGGGGGGGGGCGGCCCACACCCCACTCCCTTAACCGGCCCTCCATACAATTTCCAAAACCCAATGCGGCCCTCAGGCCAAAAAGTTTGCCAGCCCTGATTTAGAAAGTGGTTCAGTGACTTGGGGTTCACTGTCCCTGGCAATCATAACTGAAAAGAGTCATGAGCATGTATGTTATAATCTTTGAAGCTGACATAGATGAAAACACATTGTCTTGTGTTTTCTACTGTGCCTCTAACTTTGGCATTGTCACTACCCGGGCATAGCTCTGTCTCTGAAACGCCTGAACCTTAGGAAATGTGCACTCAGAGCTGAACTCCATGACTGGGACCCCATCTCTGTCTCCAACTTATAATTCTGATAAAAAGGGGGAGTTTGGACCCACAAAAGGCAAGCCTGAAACACGGGTTGAGCAGAAAGAGAGGGCCTGAGGAGAAGGGAATATCATGAGACAAGAAATATAGAGGTGCCAGAGACAAAGAAGAGATGCATCCATGGAAATGGCCGGTTGGGATAATGTGGGATTGGGGTGGCACTGACACACACAGCAAGAGAGCAACTAAGGACAGCTTGATTGTATTTGGAAAGTAGAGGAAGTGTGTAGAGGTGATGGCGGGGAGGGGAGAAAGAGAGTGTCCATGTATGTCCTGAAACCAAAGAGAGAACATTATCCTTGGGAGCTGGGGATGGTATTGGAGTTGCTGAAGAGGTAACCGTTTATGAAGAGTATCCTTGTGAAATGCTTCCCTGGGAAATGTTTCCAGTTAGCAGGCCTCACAGAGTCAAATAATTTATTTTATTCGTGCCATGAGATGTACAATAACATTAGTCAGGGGGAAATGTTTATCGTCTGATGAGTAATTTCTCCTGGTACAACATGTTAGGGCCAGATCCTCAGCTGCTGTCAGTCATGTAGCTGCACTGAAGTCACTGGAGGAACGCTGATTTACACAAGTGGAGGACCCGACCAGCAGTGTTTCACAGAGATGTCCACAGTGTTTGTTGAAATGTCTTGAGCTTGTCAGAGTGTAAAATATTTGGTGCTGCTGATTCTCATCCAGCATTCAGTCTAGTTCCCCCCCCCCACATCTCCCTGTGATTCCAGTGAGACATGGCAGAGGAGACATGGGACAGCCCTCTTTTTGTCTCCCCCATGGTTGTTTTCCTCCTCTGCCTTAGACACAGACTCTCAAGTGACGCTAATGTTAATTTACATCCTATTTTACACAAGTAGCTACCTCAGTTTCGTTGTGTAAGTGTGTCTTTTATTCCACACTTGTAATACTTTGTGAAACAACTGTCTGTTCAGTTAGAATGAGGACAGGGCTTTGGATTTTTATAGGTATAGGCTGAAATCAAAATTTCCATAGCTATTTTGGATTTTAAACCTAACCTTTCTGTTTGTAAACATCCAGGCAACTGAGAGGCTGTCTTCCCTTCCCTCTCCCACCAGGCATTTCTGAGGCATCAGCTGAATGCGTTTCTTTGCCTTACCTCCCTCTCCCCTAACTATCCCTTTCTGGTTTGAAAATCATCCTGAAAATTATACAACAAAGCCTGTGTGGATGGCAACTGAAAATTACTAGGAAAGCAGGGCCTGGGCTTTGAAAAGAAAATAAGAATGTGGGTGTGAAAGATGCTATTAAAAATTCCAGAGAGACTCTCCTCATCTTGCTCTGAAACATTAAATTGAGAGTTTAAAGATTTTGTAGCCCTGGTGGATCTAACTTCCCCCTTTTGGACACCTTCCTCCTACTGTGCTAAGTTTCCCAACCTCTATAACCACTTTCTGGCTTCTCTGTAGTAAAACTTCTCACTAGACCAGACTGGGGCCTTTCCTGGAGAGGGAGAACTAGTTACATCATGAAATCCACAGGCTGATTAACAGATGCTACACCTTTATGAAGGACTTCTCTTTCCCTTTCAATAACCACCATAGTCCTGTCTACAGACCTGTGACCAGCATGAGCTGCTTCCAGAGCTCCCCTAGGGGCACTCTGGACTGACCAACAGAGTCCCTGTGTGGGCTGTGAGGCTCCCTGACTCTTAGCACTCTCTCCACACTCCCAGCCACTGCTGGCCTGAAGATGAGACCAAGACAGGGCATAAATACACGTTTCCTGCTTGGAAGAGTGTGACACTAGCTCTAGACCACAGAGCTAACTCTTCATAACAGTTAGGCCAAATATCTTAAACTTTGGTGTTTAATGTTAAATCAAAGTGGTCTGATTTTCTGAGATATGCTGAGCACCCACAAATATCACTGAAGTCACTGGGAGCTGTGGGTGCTCAGCACCTCTGAAAATCAGTTAGCATAGGGAGGGGTCTACAAATATGGATGTAGGTGCTTAACTTTGACAGTATTGGCCTTAAAGTTACTGCAGAATACAGGATAACACAGCACCTGCAAACACCATTGACACTAGATTTGGAAATGCATTTTGTGCTTTATTTTCATCAAAAAATATTCTAGTTTAGGCAGTAACTGAAAAATAGTGCACCAGTCTCCGTGCTTTTTGTTTGTGTCCATTACAGACTGGATTCTCTGCTCAGCCCACTTTGTCCTCCATACATGATGCAAAGTGGCATTAAACTGTCTGGAGAATTTCCCCTACACAAGGGAACTTTTCCAGTGATAGTTAACAGAGGCAGCTCCTGCTCCAGTTCCCCTGCCCCCCCAAAAAAGTCAAGGAGGGGGTGCAGTGGGGACATACCGGGGTAGGGCCATGGGTGGGATGGGAAGGAAAGGGGCATGGGGGAGCAGAGTGTTGATATTCTCCTCCTTCTAATGGTTCGAACTTGCCCTGGGGCAAGGTGATCCTCAGTCAGGGAATCACGATCAGCTCCCTCCAGTCCCCTGCCGTATCCAAGGGCAGGTGGATGGAACGCAGAATCCAGGGCTATGTTCTTTCCAATGGAATTTTCAAGTAGGGATTTGGTTTGCACTCTTGTTCTAATTCAAGAAAGACAAAAATAAAAGTTCAGTTTCTGCATGGTACAGTATCCTGGAGGTGAGGTTAACTTAGGAGCATCTTGTTGGACATGGCCCCACCAGATTAAGGTAGTACCAGCCATTCAGACAAAGTTGCACTCACTGGGAACTCTGCTTTTGTGGTCAGACTCTTCTGACACAAATGAAAGTGGTTATTTTTCATCCCTGGAGTCATACGCCTTATATTGTGGTTAAGGAACATTATCATTTTTATTAATCGCCTATTCAGCATCGACTGTGCTCAGCGACGTACAAGACATAAAATTAAGGGAGACCTTCCCCTGAAATGCTTACAGTCTGAAAGACAAAACCAGAATTGACAAGACACATTGGGAAGCCCAGAGGAGGGAATCATTTGGAGCTTTATTATACAGGCATTTCTCCCCTTGACCTATTTCTTAGGTGTATTATGGGAGAAGTCTTTAAGAGATGCTTGAATGTGGACAAGAGAATGCTCTGGTGGCCCAGGCTGGGGACAGCTATCTATGTGTAAGGGATGGTGTGGGAAAAGGCCCAAAGTAAGAAGGAGAAAGAGAAAAAGCTACCAAGGGTGGTAAGGAGGTTAGCACCTTTGGCAGGGGGCAGGGTTTAAAGCAGTAAGAGAAAAGTTCAGAGGTGCAAGTCAGGACAGAGTTGTGGTGGGACCTGCAGGCAGCTGAACCCATTCAAGTAAAAGACAAAGTGACCTGACCTTATGGACAATACTGAAACTGCATTCAGGTCTTTAGGAAGCTCATCTATTCTGATCATTTACCATCCTCACCACCACTATTTTGCTTAATACCTCTGTACTTCTAAATTCTAGGAAAGAACTGATATGGAAGTGCTGAAAAGCTAAGGTATCCTCATAGTGTTTCCAGCCCCCTCAGAAGCATAAAGAAGTGGAAATCCCAAGGGGCAGACTGTTCTTATTACGTTGCAAGTTATTTTTATTTCCAGCCAAAGAGAACAAGACTGTATAGACAAGGCTCCAATAAGCAGTTGGAGGTGCTTATCACTGAATCTCACATTTCAAAAATTGTTATTCAAATTCTGAATTAATCATGACTCTGAAGATGATCGATTCATAGAAATAAAAGATGGAAAATATCTATTAGGTGTTCAAATTAACCCTTCATGGGCCAGGACAGGATTGTCCGAGAGTGATGGTATGTTGTCCCGGAGAGGGTCTAGCCTGTCTGATCTGAACTGTACCTACTGCTGCACCCATCTATATGATTCATACATGTGTTGGGCTATGGTATCAGAGAGGCTGCCAGAAGGAACTGGCTCAATTTGCATGATAATGACACCTTCTCCGGAAAGGTGTTTGAGTTGATCCATAATGGAGCTAGTGAGAGTTTATGTAAAACACCTAAATCCATATACTGGTAGCATCCCTTAGAGAAAAAACACTTATTCAAAGTGGGGAAAGGCTTTCCTTAAATGCACCCCAGTGTCCATGTACTCATGAAAACAGCAGTCTCACCAGTACAAAGAAAGCAAATAAGTTGTGTATAAAAGGTTACACAATCAAGTTACTGGTATAAGAGGGAAAAGGTTGATTGTATTACTGTACATGGATCCCATAACAATGAGGTCCCCCCATATTAAATTGCAAAATACCTTTCAAAAAGCAGACCCCTGTGCAAACCAGGAGCCGATGGCATGATGTTAAACATGACAGTTCTTGCCTGCAATGCCTCAAAAGCGCTCGGCTTGGGCCTAACTCTGCTTCCTTTGAAATCAGTGGGAATGTCACCCTGGCCTCCAATGGGAGCCTAGTCCAGCCAATGCTGAGTGCTTCTGAACAGCTGACCCTGAGTGTTTCACATTGTGTTAGTCACTACACGTTATTTAACTTATTTTCTAACACGACGTAATTTTCCGAGCTCATAGAGATGCACTTCTGCCATGCTGTATGCAATGAATAGAGTCGACTTGTATAGAGATTGCCTATAGTGGTTCCCGAACCTCGGTCTGCTTGTTGGTCTGGCTTTCCTTAAATTGTGGGCCTCTCAGAGCAGGGACTGTGAATATTTGCAAAGCACTTAGAACATCATGAGAGGTACCAGAAGCCAAAGTAATCTATATAGAAAGATTCAAGGATTGTCACTGTCTGTGTCACTCTGAAGCCTACAATGTCTGTATAGTCAGTGTGAAGTGATGGAAGCAACTTCAAGCATGGTTGAGGGCTCTCTTTGTTCAGGATATCATCAGATTGAATCGTCACTGGGTTTCATGGTCTTTTACTGTCTAGTTTGTTAAGTTCTCAGCCATTTTGACTTTATGAATTATCCCTGTGCAGTATACTGCGATAGTAAGGCATGTATCTATGGCATGCCAAGAATCCTAGACCATTGTGATATCAGAGGTAACTCACCCAATCACCACTCTTATTCTACAGCTAATTTCCATGCAGCAATTTAATTGGTTGTATAAGGAAGAATGCACAGATGGTGAATTATTCACCCAACTGCCACACCATCGCACACACCACTCATTCATCACCCAACAAATTCATACAACGCCCCCAGCACAACATAACCAGCACAACACAACAACCAACATACACAATAACCCCAAATACACTTAGCCCTTCACTGAAGCATACACCTCTCATTCATCACCTGCACAAATCTCCCAACACAATCCCTCGGACACAAATCAATACAACCACCCACACCACAACACAGCCAGCATGCACAATATCCCCCAAACACACACAGCCCCTCACTGCAGCACTCATCTCCATTCACCAGCCACACATCCACACAACTCTCACAGCACAATGCAACCCACTTACAAATCGACACAACTATCCACACAGTAACACAACTGCATATACAATAACACATACAATGGGATAAGAGGGAAGGCCCTCTCATGGATCAGTAACTGGTTAAAAGATAGGAAACAAAGGGTAGGAATAAATGGTCAGTTTTCAGAATGGAGAGAGGTACATAGTGGTGTCCCCCAAGGGTCTGTACTGGGCCCAGTCCTATTCAACATATTCATAAATGATCTGGAAAAAGGGGTAAACAGTGAGGTGACAACATTTGCAGATGATACAAAATTACTCAGGATAATTAAGTCCAAAGCAGACTGCGAACAGTTACAAAAGGATCTCTCAAAACTGGGTAACTAGGCAACAAAATGGCAGATGATATTCATTGTTGATAAATGCAAAATAAGGCACATCATTGGAAAATATAATCCCAACTATACATATAAAATGATGGGGTCTAAATGAGCTGTTACCACTCAAGAAAGAGATCTTTGAGTCATTGTGGATAGTTCTCTGAAAACATCCACTGAATGTGCAGCAGTAGTCAAAAAAGCTACCAGAATGTTGGGAATCATTAGGAAAGAGATAGATAATAAGACAGAAAATATCATATTGCCTCTATATAAATCCATGGTACGCCCACATCTTGAATACTGTGTGCAGATCTGGTTGCCTCATCTCAAAAAAGATATATTGGAACTGGAAAAGGTACAGAAAAAGGCAACAAAAATTATAAGGGGTATGGAACAGCTTCCGTATGAGGAGAAATTAATAAAACTGGGACTTTTCAGATTAGAAAAGAGACGTCTAAGGGGAGATATGATAGAGGTCTATAAAATCATAACTGGTTTAGAGAAAGTAAATAAGGAAGTGTTATTTACTCCTTCTCATAACACAAAAACTAGGGGTCACCCAATGAAATTAATAGGCAGTAGGTTTAAAACAAACAAAAGGACGTATTTGCCAGAGGATGTTATGAAGGCCAAGGCTATACCAGGGTTCAAAAACGAGCTAGATAAGTTCATGAAGGATAGGTCCATCAATGGCTATTAGCCAGGATGGGCAGGAATGCAAAACCATGCTCTGAAGTGTCCCTTGCCTCTGCCTGCCAGAAGCTGCGAATGGGCAACAGAAGATGGATCACTTGATGATTACCTGTTCTGTTCATTCCATCTGGGGCACCTGTCATTGGCCACTGTTTAAAGACACCATACTGGGCTAGATGGACCATTGGTCTTACCCAGTATGGCTGTTCTTATGTTCTTAGCCCCAAACACCACTCTGAAGCCTAGAATGTCTGTTGAGTCAGTGTAATGTGATAGAAATAGCTGCAAGCAATGGGATTTGGTTTAGAATATCACTAGGTTGAATCATCACTGGATTCATGGTCTGTTACTGTCCAATTTCTAAGTTTTCAGACACTTTTGGCTTTTTTACTCGTCACTTTACAAATTACCCCCAGGCGACAGCCCAGGCTTTCAGCTACTAGTAATAAATGCATTTCTGTGCTAATCCCCTCTGACTCCAACATTGAAAAGAATGTTTACACTGTGAAAAATAACAGCGCAAATGGGTCACAATTTAGAGTCAGACTTTAACCTCAAAGTCACATCACAGAGGCCTCAAAAAAAAATCCATTACAGGACATGCAGAGCAGTGAAGTTTTCAAGACACCCAGTGTTGAGTACACAGCTATGGAACAATAACTATGACTAGGGCCCTACCAAATTCACAGTCAGCCAGCAGCCCCAGAGAAGTAAAGATGGCATGGTGTGGTATTGCCACCCTCACTGCTGCTGGTAGGGCACTGCCTTCAGAGTTGGGCGACCGGCCAACGGCCGCCACTCTCTGGCTGCCCAACTCTGAAGGCAGCAGTGCAGAAGTAAAGGTGGCAATACTGTGACCTCCCTAAAATAATCTTGTGACCCCCCCCCCTTCTCCCCGCAACTCCCTTTTGGGTTAGGACCACCAATTTGAAAAATGCTGGTCTCCCCCAGGAAAGCTGTATAGTATAGGGTAAAAGCACCCAAAAGACCAGATTTCATGGGGGGAGACCAGATTTCACGGTGCATGACGCGTTTTTCATGGCTGTAAATTTGGTAGGGCTCTAACTGTGACATGTAGCTAGGTAATTCTCAGCAAGGTGTTCATGAACACTGAAATGTATTCTGGGTACTGTGAGAAAAAATATTCTGCTTCTCATCAATGATGCTTCATTTGCTGGAAAACAAAGTGATAGGTAGTCCTTTTTCCCATGTTTAGCTATGGCCTGAGAAAGTTAAAATTCTGTGGTTATGGCTGGGATTTTTGTTTTGTTTTGCTTTGTCCCTGTCTCACTTACAAGTGTGTATCAAATAATGAAAAGCACTGTGCTGAAGGCGAGTGAAGATGTGTTGACACTGAGAAAGGAAGTGCTAAATATAAGATTGCTAAATGCCCATTTCGTGATCTCAGCTGTCTGTGTCATAGGAAAAACAACATCTAAGTTCAGCTGTTTGGGCTCAACAACCGAGACTTAAAATGACTCTGAGTGGGCTAAAACAGCTCGAAGCCCTGAAAAAGTCAGTTGTGTCACTGCGATTATACTTAATTGGCATTGTGGGAAGCCTTTCTTTCTACAAATCAGCCCACACTGTCCCCTTGTGCAAAGAGCCTTTTCATTAGCTCCTGTGGACGTGCAGCCAAACTGCCCAGCAAATACCAGCATTGTAATGTGATCTCAAAAGGGAGCAAAGTAGTCCAGAGCTATTCAAGCATTCCCGCTTCCTTTGCAGACTCCTGACAGTCCCATGTCTGGACTTCCTGATTTTCTTTCAGCACCCCACAAAGGGACTTTTCCTCCTAGTGCCCTTTCACCAGACAGACAGTTCTTCCCTGTCTCCCCTGTACTCCCGGAATCCCTCCTCCAGCAGGTTGGCTCAGCAACCTTCAACTCAGCTGCCTCCCGTTGCAGGATTATAAATAGTAAGTGCAATGTTTTCTTCTAGGAAGGGATTTAAATCTAGTCCAGGGTCACTTGTGTCTTTCTATGAGAGATGAAAAGATAGTGTTGTCTCTGGTAGAATGAGACTTGAAGGCTGTTCACATAGCTCAAACCACAAGGCCATTGCCCTCTGTTTCACAGGATCACAATCCTTTAGTGTACGCAACAGAACTATAGCTTTGGGTTTACCCAGGGTGGCTCAGAAAAAAACTCCACTGTGCTTTTATTGGCTCCATTGGTATTTGTGTTTGTTTTGACCAAAGTATGTGTTCCCTTATCTTGGCATCAGTAAGTCTACTCCCATCGCAGCTGTATGCTCAGTAAACATTATCTGTATAGTCAAGGGTGCACACATTTATTCAGGTCTCTACAGTACTTTTGCTTTGGCTGTGATAAGCAGAGTTTACAATTAAACAAAACAACTACAAAGAACAAGAAAGCTGAAAGACTCCTTTCAAGCCATGTTTCTGGAAGGAGTAATATCTTTTAACTTTCTTCCCTCATTCTAAAGGGCAAATTCTACCAGTATGTTCACGCTCTCCTGGTCAGTGGGAACCATGTGCATGGATCTGACAGCAAAATTTGGTCACAATTACTACTAAGCCTTTATATAGTGCTCAAAGCATTTTATGGAGGATAAAGAGACATATAAGTAATAACACCCACTCTCCAGTCTAAAGGGCAGACGCCATTCTTCACATTTATGAAGGGCACTTGCAGCTTCACTACCATGGAAAGCCTAGCAATGTAAGGCAGATGGTCTTTCCTAAGATTTACTAAAGAAGGCTTAATAAAAGGTCAGGACAAATATCTATGGGTAATCAGGGAAACTTGACCCATCTGACTTATAGAGCCAGATACTGCCCTCCGTTACTTGGCAATAAAGCCAGAGAGCTCCATTGAAGAGAATGGAATTATTCCAAATTTTACACCATTAGAAAAGAGATCAGAGTCATGCCATCTTCAGTCTCTTCTTTTGTATCCAAAGTAATTGCTTGGAAAGTGACCACCAGGACAGGATCTAAACTGCCTTGGTGGCATCCGATACCACTACAGTAATACGCAACGGGGGGAAATCCATTGGAAGAATGAGACTCAAAGGAGGAGAAAGAAGAGGCCTGAGAAGATAAAGATGTTCCTTAACAGGCTAGAGAGAAGGAAATATAGGGCTTTGCATGCCCAATCTGCTGCATGACAACACCAAACCCACATACACAGAGGCTGTTTTTAAAACAGGAGGCCTGTAACATTGCACTGAAATGCAGTTCAAAACATCCACCCACCCTAGCAGGCTTGGGAGAGCTAAAGAATATGCCTTTCCCCCACCCAATTCCGTGCTGCCAGGTGAAAGTTTCCCACAGGAAAATGAACAAATCTGTGTCAAATGTAGTTATTCATAAAAATGTGTCCCATTTGTTTTCTTTTTCTCTCTTTCATGCACCCTCTGGGGGAGGTAGCCAGTTGGAAAAGAGAGAGCCCTTCAAACGTAGTCCTTCCCCACCCCACAGTGAACCTCATCAGGGCTTCCATCTCATGTCACAAGAATGATGTTGCCTTTATGAGTAGTAGACATGACCTGAAAGGGCGAACAGCAGTGCCAAAAAGTCACAGAACTCATGTTACACAAGCGAGGACTTCGGAGCCAAGGGAAACTTCATCAAATGCTGACATATCAAGGTGAGTTTGTCCAAAATATGACCTCTTTTTTTCTTTGTTTCTTATATCTATTTGCAAGGTCTATGTAATTCTCATGGATTTCCTTCTGGCCCCAAAACAATTACTTGTTGGCGCCTACTGTGGCCTTGGGCACAGAGGTTTTATACAGATATAAATAATGTATGTACAAATGGCAATGTGTCTAGCTAAGTTCATGGCCAAATACCTGATTATTGCAAGTATGGATTAGGCACACAATTGAGCGCAGCACAGGGCTTTTTAAAGTTTTTAAGGTGAGGCTTTTAAGCTAGGTCAGGCCTTACATGCCATACGGGTGGTTCAATTCACGCAGTGAGGTTTTTTATTGTTACGATTCTCAGAACAAACCATTTTTCTATTTCTTATTTGTTTTCTCACTGCGACACTTCAGTCTAAACTTCCTTTTCCTAAGCATGCCTTTAGACTAAAAAGATTTAGGGCCCGAGTCTCAGCTTGTGAAAATCAGTATAGTTCCATTGATCTTAGTATGAACTTTTCTTCCTTTAAATTTTGTTTTGTAAAGCCTACTCTTTCTTGCAATCTTTGCATCTTAGAATTTTGCTGGAATAAGGGACAGTAGAATACTGAGTTAATCAAGGACCCGCATTCCATGGGATAATTTCGCCTGAGTTTATTGGTCATGTATGGCAAAAGCATCAGAAAAAAAGATAGATTAATTTTTCTGGCTGACATCCCACATACATATTATGAAATTCTGCCCTTAAATTAAATGAAGGAGCTACTACAAATAGTCTTATGGTCCAGGTGGATAATATTGAGCATATTATGAGAAAAGGTAGCCTGGACAAAATAGTTCTTTCCCCTTCCTGTATCATTTTCAGTGTTCCCACAGTAGTTTGCATTTTGAGTTCAGCCATATTAGCTTCAAGCAAATTGACAAGTTCAAGCATGAATCTAATTTAAGCTTTGAATAAAACCCATCCACGACAACTCTAATTATTAAGCAGATGCATTGCTTTTACATTGATTTATTACTTAGAAACAATTACAACCATTCTTCTCTGCATTCATTCATATTTCAATGACTTAGCATGCAGGCTACCTTATCATCAAAACTTGGATCAAAAACCAGGTCTGCTGCCCACCAATAAATTGCTTCTGTGCCTGGATTCTGTCTACAGCATCCTATACCTGGATTGTGTGGATGTGCCTAACGATTTCGCTACACTTTAAGTAGAGATGAATCAGGGTACAGGGACTGGCTATCCCATGAAATGTGGGTGCACACATGAAATAGATCAAACGCCATTAATGGAAGATATGACAAGGATGATATCTGCCCTTTCATTGATAGTCTGTGTACATTATTTGTTCTTTGGTTTTGCAATGTGGGATACTGTTGGATCCCCAGCTGCTGTTAGATGATCATATAGCAGCAATGACCCAGGCAGATTTTTTCACCAACAGCTGGCCAGGAGGTGGCAATCATTTCTTTCAGATGTGACCTTGCTGACATTAACCACACCTTTGTCACCTGCCCAGTAGTCTGTTGCAACGTGCTCTACATGGGGCTGCACATGACATCATCGTGGTGCAGAACGTGATGACTTGCTTGCTAAGTGGAGTTTCTCACTGTCAGCGCTTTGCAGAACTCCGTGATCTGCACTGGCTGACTGGCAATTTCCAGCTGTAGTCTAAGGTGGTATTTTTGACTGACATGATGCTAAAGGGCCTGGGACTCGACTACCTGCTGGATTGTCTTTCTCCCTGGGCAACACTGCTGCAGTCCTGATCAGCAGAGGTGCTTGAGCTTGACCCTCTTGCTATAGGAGAGGGAGCTCCTAGCCGGGTATCTCCATGATGGGCCTTCAGGTTTGGAATTTACTTCCCCCACTTGGTCCAGAATAAGCCTGTTGACCTTCAAACTCCATCTCTCTTCACAAGCATTTGAGGAGGAAGGACTGCACTAAAGGCTGAGATTGGAGCACTGAGGTTCAGGATATGTGGCCATAGTAGTTCCCCCTCAGCCAGGTTTTGTTTCTAGGGAGGTTCCTGCATTAATATTTCTTTGTATAGGGTGCCCTGTATTTTTAACATATGGCAAAGATGCTTTGAAGCCTAGATAGGGAGTTTTTAATGCTTTATGTATATCTAAATAAATAAATATTTGCAGAATCCTTCATAGCTACGCTAGAAAAGGGTGTGCTTTTTAACCTGTGTTAACTGGTCAAGGTAAGCCCTAGGGAAAGCCTACCATTCACCTTGACCAGCTAGCATGTGTTAAAACTACAGTTTGCATTGTCCACACTAGGGTTTTAACATGTGTTAGTTCCCATGTATTAGCTAATCATGGTAAAAACACACGTCCTTCTTACTCAGGACAAAGCCTTACTGGGAGCAGGGGAAGTACCACCTTCTCTAATGCATCTGGAAGTGATCTTATAAGACAACTTCATGCCAGTCCAAAGCCGTGCATCAAGTCCTATGCCCCATTGAAGTTCTGTGATAAGGGCAAGAAGTGGTCAAAAAGCCCTGTCCAGGCCCTCTGCACTAGGGTGACTTTCACCCTCAAGGTTTTAAGTGGCTATATGAAATGGGTGATGTTTGTGGCCAAGGGCAATCTGTTTCCATCTGTTGGTAGTGATAGTGAACAGTGGCCACATTTTTAAAAAGGTAACTGGCCTACTCTTCCAGGGCCGGCTCTGGCTTTTTTGCCGCCCCAGGCAAAAAAGCCGCCCCCCCCCCGCGTGGGGCGGGGGGGAGGAGAGGCAGCCGGAGCCCCGGGGG